TTGGAGTTCTCCTGCGAAACCAAAACCCCTCCTGAAGGTTTTGCCAATGATCAGAAAAACTAAAGATAAAATAATAAAAGGAAAGTGCTCAAACCTCTGCTCTATAGTATTTAGCTATCAATATAAGTCCTGTTATTTATATTCAAAAAAAATGAAACAACTCTAATTCCATTTGTCAGCTCACTTCAAAAACATGTTTTGAGTGACTGATAAACATAAACCCTCTAGATTAAGCAATGAATGATGGTGTTCTCCTGCCAGGCACCAAGCAAACAGCAGATCTTAGGTAGAAGGACCTGGGCGTGTTAGGGAGCCAAGAAATAGAGCTGACTTGACATAGTGGCTCTTGGAAATTAAGTACCATTCTTTTGACTGTACATCTCAAGGATCTTTAGGGAGGTGGCCAGATTGTCAGTACCAGAGGAGGCTGAAGCATATGTGCAAAATCAGACTCAAAGGTGTTCTCTGAGTCGATGGCAAAAAAAGAATGAGCCTATGTCAATGTGCTCCTGCCCTACTGTCTTCCCTGCACTTAGTGAAACCAATCAGGGCTGGACAGCTGATGGCTTGCAGAACAGCACAGAGCACTGTGGAGTTTCTCTTTTCCATGAGAAGAGTTCCTATGCCAGTGTCTGGAAACATCCCCTCTCAAAACTGTCTTAACTTCCAGAAGCAAAGATAGAGTCCTCCGCATCTCCCAGACCACCACAGGTTAATTAGCACCCACAAAAATGACCACAGCTGCTTGCAAGATGTTGTTGGGTCTCCTCTGAGACTATCATTACCTGCCTAGCATCAGTGCAATGCTGATATGCAATTTATTCCTTTGGAAGAGCTCCATCATCATATAACAAAGTACCATAAATCTCCCCACGGATGTCATTGCATTGGGATAAGCCAGCACTGAAAGGCTGGAGGGATTGCTTTACACCAACTGAGCTTGCTGTTGGTCTTGCTGTGAGATAATGATTCTATAAGGCGTTTTTCTGGCACCTTTGTTAGGACAGTGCCTCAGACACAGTAGATGGGAAATGAAACCTGTGAGCGCTAATAAAAGTTCACAAGTGCAAGTGCTATTTAACTATGGAACTGAACAGACATTTTTGATTTTTTTCCCCCTACTAGGTCAGGAGACAACGCTAGGTGCTGCTTGTTGTCTGGATGACTGCATGGTCTTTCCCTGGACATGGACATTGTAAGATCAAGCCAAGAGGTGGCAGTACTCCTCCACCATTCCCAGCCCAGGAGATGCCTCATCCTGCAAGGTTCATCTTTGCAGCATCAGTATCATCAGCTTCTTTTCTGGTTTATATGTATTTACATCAGAGAAATAAATATTCCATATTTCTCCTGTCCTGGGAGGGCTTTCCTTCAGCAGAGGAGCTACCTTGGGCTTTGGCATCCTGCAGCAACGGGGGGCACTTCTGCCACCTCCACTGTACAAGAGAGCCCATGGAGCTGCAACAGGTCCCCAACGGTGGACAAGGTTTTAATTTTACTGAGGAGCATGGTTCTTAAAATGCCATAAACTGTGAACGCACAGCTGGAGCAGTTTATGGACTGCGAAGAAACTCTGAGTATTTTATCCTGAGTATTAATTCAAAGGGCATGCTTTGTTATTTCCTGTTTCATTGTTGTTTGTGAAATGGTTTAATGGGTAGTGAGCAGTAAATTGTTTAAAATCTGCTGTGCACATTGAAGCGTTTTTATATTGCTAGAGAGGGAAGGATTTCACTGCCTGGGTGTGAGGAAGAGAGCAAGATTATCCTGATAATGAAAACCACAGTCAATGCATTTACTTTGGAACAATTGCTTCAATGACATTACTATGTAGATATTTTAATCAGAAATAAAAGTGCTAATTCCCAAATGCAGGCCTAACAACAACTGAAACAGCGGCATGCTTTCAAGGGGGAAAAAAAAAAAGGAAGCTTAGCTATTAGTAATGAGGTTTACATGCGGCCAAGGAGAGCATTTTCTGTCAAAAAAAGTGACCCTCTTTAAAATATAAAAGGCAATGTTTATTAAGAACTGGTAATTACCTAATAACAGAATTGGTATGGATCACTACCTCACGTTATCTAGGGTGTTATACCTGTGAAATTTTCTCATGGATAATAAAAACATCCACCACATGGCAGAGGCAGTGGGAACAAGAGCAAAGGCACTGGCTTGCATCCATATGGCTAAACTCTCATTACCTCTCCTCGACATCATGGGCTCATCTATTCTGACTTCTGGAAACATTCTCTGCCTTATGCTCTCCCTTGAACAGTGCCCAGGAATGCTAGCTAGCTCAGTGCACCCTAACTATATAGATATAGATATAGATATAGATATAGAGGGGACTGTATTTACTATGTGGTTTCCTGAGCAGTGCAGCATGCCAGCAATGAATCAGCAGAGATGGCTGGGCAACAGTGCCCATGTCTGTGTGCTGGCACTGCTTGGTTTGCTGGCATGGGTGTAGCCAAGGAAGTTATGTATGAGCTGGAAGTCCTTGCCCACTGACCAGACACCCCCAGGATAGCAATCCCTTTGTGCCTGGCAGAGCTGCTGTCCCAGGCCAGTCTATTGCTACATGCACACATGTGTAGCTGGTTCTGTGTGCTCCTCACTCAGCTTTCTCTGCAAAGATGAAACACTTAAAAAAAAAAAAATTCACTCTGGGTCTTTTTTTGGACTTTACAACACGATTCATGACTTCTCAATATATCATGGCTGGTGTGAATCAAATTTTGAGCTTATTTCTAATCCTTCTTCATGAAAATACTGCCTCTCCCTTGTGGCTTTTCTGATTTGCCTCAGTGTCAAAGAGATCAGAATCAGTCCCTAGGCCTGGTTTCAAAATAAACAAAAGGCAATAGGACTTTGAGTTCCTGCAGAAGGCCAAATACTGAAAGGGAAACTCACGGTAAGAGATCCTCATGCAACCTGAAAATCCTCTGATCTCTATGGAGGCAACATAAACAGGTTGAACAAGAGTTACAGGGAATCCTTCTTAAAGTGGTTGTGTACCTGACAAGAGAACCAGGTGTCTTGGCAAAAGGAACCCTTTGAGCTAAATAGAAAGCCCCTAAAAGGGGTGATTCTCATGTTTTGGACAGATATGGCAAACAGGTTTTTCTTCAGCTTCTAAAGTATTCAGCCTTCAATGGTGGTGACAAACCCTATTTTACTATCTTTTTGGAACAAAAATGAAGGAAAAGGCTTTTACAGCAAGGCTAAACTCCATTATAAATGGGATCATGTAAAGAACTATAGTTATCCTTGTTCAGTTTCTGTACATTTATTTTTACTGAAACACCTAAGGCAAAAAAGAAAAGGTTTCTTCTCACAGTAGTTAGGAGCAGTGAGGTGCCTTCCCTGAATTGGCCACTGACAAGTCTGTGGACTAGACACATGAGGGCTTTGAATTTTGATTCAATGTCAGCACTGGCCTGCCAAATGGCATGAGTGAACCATCTTCTTGCTAGTTGTTGGTCTTGACTGCTTAAAATGCAAGTTCTCAGAGCAGGAAATATCATTCTTCCTTCCATCTCCTGCAGAGGCATTTTGGTTTCAGCTGAAAGGTGCAAGTGCTAAGGTAAAAACCCTCTTTCATCCATCTATTTTTTCCAAAGTTTTTGACGTGGAGCTTATGAGTGTACACTCATATCCAGGAGGAATATGTTTGGGGTAGGATTATCAAATCATTAAGTGATATTCTAATTTTGCACACTTTGAAGGCATTAGCAATTTTATGTCAATCTTCACCAAGAACAGAAATAAGTCATTGTGGAAAAGTTTTTTTATAAATGCTACCTTACTTTTCCTTTTTGAGAGTTACCGCTCACCTTTTGCTAAGAGGGTGTTAAGGGGTTTTTGAGACTATTTTTTTTAAAATTAGTTTTTTACATAGAGGTAACCTATCAATGTACAATTGCCTCCTTATGAGAGAAGTTGGGAATGGCCAAAGAGATTGCACAGCTGGTCCTACCAACTACCAAATACATATTACAGGAAAAACATTTCTACTTTTTACAAAACCTTGAGCCAAAGTTGAGTATATGAATTCAGGAAAGTTTCTCAAGATTTGTAACCATTCTAAATAAGGTAAAAAAATATTCACAGACTTCTTACCAAGGCTGGTAGCAAACTCTCCAGGTTTACTCACAGGCTTTCTAGTACTCACTGTTTCTCTCTGGGCCAAAAGTCCTCTGAGGATGAACTTATTTCCAGTGGTTTTTGCCACTTTTGCTCTCATCCAAGCCAGAAAAGCAGAAAGCTGTAGCAAATAATGAACTAATACAACTCTAAGCCATAATTAGAGTTGTGGCCAAAGACACACCCTTAAACTTCACTGCTGTGTGGAGGCTGCTGTAAGAGGTTTAGTAAGACTTTGCTTTGTAAAATAAGGAAAGGTCAGAGCTGTGTTTGTGGTGGGACAGTGCTGGGGAGAAGCTAAATAAACACCTGAAAAAGAACCTTTCCCTGTTCCCGATGGACCTGTTCACCTTTGTTCAATCCCACAGTTCTGAGGAAGCAGGGATTAACAAGGCAACACTGGAGCCCATTTATGCATTTATGGGGGATGCATTTATGGTTGCATTTATGGGGGATGGCACCACTGCTCTCCTGATGGGATCAGTATCTCCGGTCCAGGTTGTCAGGGGCATAAATCTGCAAGTGTCCAGAGAGGACTCAGATCGCACACAAAAATCCTTGTCTGAGGCTCATAGGGGACAATCTGCCCACTGGAATATCCTCAGCTTAACTGCCACAATGCTAAAACAATCAGCTGGATCAGCACAGAAACTCAAAGTAGAAGAGGTGGAGGCCCCAGATTCCTAAAGATTCAGTAGGGAATCGTTGGTATCACTGAAGTGTGAACCCAATGGCAAACAGCAAATGCTTCCCAGAAGAGGAACCTGCTAGAGAAGGGTGTTTTTTTTCTCACTGGAGCTCAGATTGCTGCTTGCATTTTCCCAACTGTTGAGAATTTGGTAGGCAATAAATACCTGTCAATGGAGAGCTTGTTCTTCAGAACTGAAGTGGAGATGGGACTCCCAAGGGCAGAGTATCTTCAGCAGGAAGCAGTTTCCATTGACTCTTCCAGCCAAAGCCTCATAACTCTCTTAGAAACACTGCCTAAACCAAAAAGAGTCCTCAAAAGGTCAAAGCTTGCTTTGTGGTTCTTTAGTGGAGCCCAGAGAGACCTTGAACTTAAAACCAAATATTTAAACCTGTGTATGTACTTATTTACAAATCAAGGGACAATTCTTCCTTTTCATTGCCAAACCTTCATTATGTTCGCAATGAAGCAGACATGAGCAGGGCCTGTCCTCTAGCCCTGGTCACTTCTAGTCACCATTAATTTTTGCAGTAACATGGACACATGGAATGAGCTTCCTGACATAGTTGGGAAGAGTAACTCAGCTATGGCAATAGTCTAATCTCTTTTTCTGTTCATGGCTTGCATAAAGACATCATAAATAATGGTGTCAGTGCTTTTCACATTAAATCCCTGCACCTATAGGATATCACAGAAGGGCTACAATAGGTCTAAGTTGCCTTGACAGCATAAGGCTCAGCAGAGATGGTCCCATATCAAGTACACCAGTAACACGGAAGTGCCTGGCAGCATCCTCTCCTGGGTCCTTTTGCTTCATTCTTCCTGTGACCAGGTGAAATTCTCTGTTCAGACTTGGGATGACATGGACTGACACCTCTCTTCTACCCCCACCCTGACCAAGACTGATTTCTCCTCAACTTGTTTAGAACAAAGCTAGGGCCACCTGTGCATGGGCTGTCAGGAAATGTGGTGCTTTCATTTAAACAGCAGGCAGCTATCAAAACAGCAATAAGAGAGGCTATCAGGCTTAATAATGGCATGCATTAAAAGTAAAATAACTCTCTGAGGTCCAGTAATGTTGCTTTTGCCATTTGTCAGGTATATAATCACTCTGGAGAATAAGAATAGTGAGGTCTTTGTAAAATCATGAATCAACATTCTCAACAATTCAACTGCTGTGAGTAGGTCAGGTCAATAACCCCACGTCTCAAAAAACCACTTAAGCCCCCCTGTCTCCTGAGACCATTACATCAATGGATCCATCCACTACTACAGAAAATGACAACTCGCAATGTAATACCAGGAGATCCCCCTTAACAACTCCTCTATATTAACAGCTGCTGGGCTCTGCTCTGGGTGTTTGTCCTTGTTTCTAAGCCCAGGTCATATACATTCCTTTGGCTTTCTGTGAGAAAAGCTTTTATTGTTTTCAGGAGGATCTTTTTTCTTTTAAAAGATAAATAATGGAATGGAGCAGGTAATTCTTAAGAAAGGACAATCAGAGTAGGAATCCTGAAATGATTAAACAGGTTGTTTCCAAGAACTTGAGAGAGTTTGGTTAATATTCAAAACTATGCCCTTCTCATTCAATGAGATTTGTTTTCAGCTTTGTGGTCTTACATCAGGCAAAATCCCATATATACTGTAGTTCATGGCAAAATCCATTACTTCAGTAGACCTAGATTTTACCCACACAGTTCATATAATGATCTGTGTTCCCACACCTTGTAGGGCCACATTCTTTTGTTGTACTTGCTACCTCAGAAAAGAAGACTCTACTCTCTGCCTTAAACCTTCCTATATGCTTTTTATATATGTTGCTAAAATGCAATGAGTGTTGGCAATAACTGAAATGTTACTGCCTCAAATTATTTCTGCAAGAGACAGTGGGGAAAGACAAATTGAGTAGAAAGATTTTTTTGCAGTATTTTTTTCTTTAAATAGTGTCACATTCCAGTGACTCAAGCACTGCTCTGAATGTCTGTGATGCATCTCTGGCCATAAGACATGGACACTGAAGTTAGTCCTGAAGTCTCCATGCAGAGACCACCCCCTCCAGCTTTGCTTGGGCAGAAAATCCAACACCTGATGAATGTGTGATCTCTCCACCACTGAGACACAGTACAGACTTGATATCTCCTCTACTAAATTGACAGTTTTCACTAAAACTCTAGGGTTTTAGTTATCTTTAAGCCTTTTACCACATTTTAAATTTTGTTTGGAATTGACTGGTGTGTAGAATAGATTCAGATAAATACATCACCTGCTTTCAACATATCTCTCAAGCCCCCATTAAAGCAAGAAGGACAAGCTGTATATGAGCTGTCTTTCCTGTGATGCTTACTAACATTTGGACATCTTGTCTTATGGCATAAGCCAGAAGAAGGAAGTAAAAGGTTGGATGAAGTAATTTCTAGTGATTTTATTTCTTTGCTGATAATTATACAGGATAGTTCCTATATTATATCTGGATGAAGAAAAGATGAAATTGTGTTTGAAATATCTTAGACCACGAAGAAGGGGGGCTTCTTCCAACTCCAATTTCTTTCAATCCTGAAATATGGAAGGTTTTTGAATATGAATGGAAACACCATTTTACAAGAACTTCACAGTTTAATGATAAATCACTCTGCCTAGTTCAGCAAGGCAGTTAAAAAGAAAATATATGAGAATGTAGTTTGACTGATACATCTTTAATGAATTTATGCTCATAACAACTCTGTTCTCTTCCTGACCTCTTGTTTCAGTTATTTATTTCTGATGTTAAAAGTTCAGGCAGCAAATGCTCCTTGAGAGCTGTAATCAGTTTTCTGAATGGCGAAAGAGAACAGTAAGATTTTGTAGCAACTGTGATGCATGTTAGCCCTCACTGGTGAAAAATTTAAACTACAGAAAGTCCTTTTCATCTTTTAGTAAGGGTCCATTATTTCTGTATATCTCTTTTCTGTGCCTTATGAAAAGGTTTGTACAGTAAAGAATGACTGACTATGTAGTAGTTCTTTCTTCTTTTGCCAAGCTCTTTTTAGCTTTGGCAGCAATTCTATTTTCCCTGTCATCATCTAATGTCTATTTATTTTACATTGCTACAAAGCCAGTGCAATTCCCTCATAAATCCCAGGTTGTGAAGATGAAGAAACATTTTGATTCATTTTATTAAAATTCTCCAGTGTCCTCTTTATGATTCCTACCATCTAATTAGGTTTGGAAAGGTCATCAGTTTGTAAAACTCTTGGAAAAGAATCAATTGAATTAGGAGATCAGAGGTTGCCGAATGCCTTGCAATTCTGTGCTCTGAAATACCTGATCAATCTTGGTTGTCACAGGTGCCACAAGAGTGCTTGTCACTAATTGTTGATCTAACTAACCTCATAACCCTACTCCCTTTCTTTCACCTTCGCCCTGCTGTCCTCCCTGGGTCTTGTGTGCACGCAAACATATGAGGAGGCACACACACACACACACATACACGCGCACACACATACACGCGCACACGCACACATACACACATACACATAACACACACGCACACAGACCCCACATGAAACTCCTAGGAAAGTGAAGATATTATCCTTACTTTGAATGCTATTTCAACAATTCAACATTCTCCACAGCTGCCTAAAGAGAAGGTGGGAATAATGACAATGGGAAGCTCCATTGGCTTAATGCTGTCAACACAAACTTGTGAGTATTTTGTGGAATCAGGTTGTGCAATGTAGAACTATATTATGTTAATCAGAAAAATGCCAACTTTTTTTTTTTGTTTGTTTCCTCATTTTGTAGCCAGTTAGACATACAAGAATTTTTAAATTATTGTCCTCTTGGTGTGGGGAGAGAGAAAGTCTTCTGGATCACATTACCTCTCACAGCACAATACCAGATCCTTCATGTCTCAAAGGTGTGAGTCTTGTTTCCAATTTTAGGAACAATTTCTAGACGCAGTCAGCCTCAGAGAATGCTGTGATGTTTTCTGAGCTTGCATGGTGTAGATGCTGTTTCACAGCTACTTGGTCACTAATGAGCTCACTGTTAAGGTGCTGTTAGAATGAAGTTTGAGCTGCTAATTAACACGCAGATTCCAAAGACATCATGCAATAAAAGTGAAATATTAGAAGAGTTGTACTGAAACAGCAGCAGAAAAAATGCACTCCCCTGGAGTGTTTAGAAGTTAAGGTCTTGGACAGAAGTAATCTCATCTTCATGCCTCTTCCTGCATCCACACTCCTGCAGGGAGAGGTGATTTTCTCATTCCATCACCTCATGTACAGCACAGAGATGCACAAAATTCAGCAAATCTGGTTTGCCAAAAATTGTGAGTAATACACTTCCTGTGAACACAACTTTCCAATTCACAGTCTAAAGAGATTGCAACAAGGCTGAATTTACCTTTCATTGACACTTTTCAGGATTTAATTTCTTTTTTATTCATGTGTAAGGAGTGAAGTGGTAGTTTTTTTCCCCCCTTCTTTCATTAGTTCCATCTCAGTTTTGAGTTACTAACTATGAGGTAATATCTTCTTATATACCCACAAATGATCAGGATATGCATAGAAATGTGTAAGGTTAAGCACTTTATTTTTGCAGCTTTTATTCTGTAGTCCCCAGAAGGCCATAGACGTGCTCCATTTAACAGCCACTGTCTCCCTATTGTGTGTCTTGAGCCCTGACATTCAATTCTGTTAAAATATAAGGCTCGTATGTTTTATATTGCAATTTAGTATTAAATATGATGCAAACAGGACCAAAAATCTGAAATATCTGAGCTTTTAATTTTTTTACTCTGTCTTCTTCATCAGAAAAAAAAAATGTTGAACTCTTCATGCCCTCCTTGTACTAATACATCATTTAAGAGATCATTAAAAACACATGAGTTCACTCAAGAAGAGGTTAGGAAAATGTCTTTTGATACAACTGTATTTTATGAATAATGAATTAAAACATGCAAAGATGGAGTGATTTGGAATTCTGTATTTTGAACCTATGTATCTTAAAGGAATGTGTTGCACACAAGAGGGTGCATAAGTGAAATCTTCACCATTTGCATGCAGAGAGGAGTATTTTGCCTTTCCAAATACTGACATGATCACTCCGGAGCAGTGAACAGAGACCAAATGTGAGGGTGTGTGTATGAGCACACATCATCCCAAATATCCATTGTGGGAAGTTGGTGGGGAGTTGTATGTGAGAACACAAGCTCTGGCTTTTGTCCCTTGCCTTCCTGCTGTCACTCAAGAACTTCCTTTGCCTTGTGCCTGGCACCAGGTTAACACAGGTCTTGCCTTTGTA